TTATTTCAGAAGGTTGAAAAAGTTACTAGGGGGAAGCTGTTCAAGAATTGATTTTAACAATAGGGAGGAACTGGTTGAGAATTTGAATGTGGAAGGCAGCTTGAGTGAAAGTGATCATCAAATCAGAGAGTTCATGATTCTAAGGTATGGTAGAAGGGAAAATGGCAAATTAGAGACAATGGATTTCAAGAAGGCAGATTTTGGTAAGCTCAGAGAGCTGGTAGGTAAGGTTGCATGGGAAGCAAGACAGGGGGAAAACAACTGAAGAGAGTTGGAAGTTTTTCAAAGGGACATTGTTAAGGGCTCAAAAGCAAGCTATTCCACTGTGTAGGAAAGATCGAAAATATGGCAAAAGATCACCTTGGATCAACCAGGAAATCTTGCATGATCTAAAAATCAAAAAAGGAGTCATATGAAAAATGGAAACTAGGACAAATTACAGAAGATAAATACAGGCAAACAACACAAGAATGCAGGGGCAAGATTAGAAAGGCAAACGCACAAAATGAGCCCAAACTAGCTACAGGAATAAAGGGAAACAAGAAGACTTTTTATAAATACATTAGAAGCAAGAGGAAGACCAAGGACAGGGTAGGCCACTGGTCAGTGAGGAGGGAGAAACCGTAACAGGAAACTTGGAAATGGCAGATGTGCTTAATGACTTTTTTGTTTTGGTCCCTCCCGCAGGAGAGATTCCAGAAGATTGGAAAAGGGAAAATATAGCGTCCATCTATAAAAAGGGAAATAAAAACAACCCAGGAAACTGCAGACCAGTCAGTTTAGCTTCTGTGCCAGGAAAGATAATGGAGCAAGTAATTAAGAAAATCATCTGTAAACACTTAGAAGATAATAAGGTGATAGGGAACAGTCAGCATGGATTTGTAAAGAACAAATCATGTCAAACCAATCTGACAGCTTTCTTTGATAGGATAATGAGTCTTGTGGACAAGGGAGAAGTGGTGGATGTGATATATCGAGACTTTAGTAAGCATTAGATATGGTTTCGCATGATATTCTTATCAATAAATTAGGCAAATACAACTTAGATGAGGCTACTATAAAGTGGGTACATAACTGGCTGGATAACCGTTCCCAGAGAGTAGTTATTAACAGTTCACAATCCTGCTGGAAAGGAGTAACAAGTGGTGTTCCACAGTGGTCTGTTTTGGGACCGGTTCTGTTCAATATCTTAATCAACGACTTAGATGTCGGCATAGAGAGTACGCTTATTAAGTTTGCAGTTGATACCAAGCTTGAAGGGGTTCCAGCTGCTCTGAGGATAGGGTCATAATTCAAAATGATCGGGACAAATTGGAGTAATGGTCTGAGGTAAACAGGATGAAGTTTAATAAGGGCAAATGCAAAGTGCTCCATTTATGAAGGAACAATCAGTTTCACACAGATAGAATGGAAAGTGACGGTCTAGGAAAGAGTATGGTAGAAAGGAATCTAAGGGTTATAGTGGACCACAAGCTAAATATGAGTCAACAGTGTGACGCTGTTGCAAAAAAAGCCAACATGATTCTGGGATGCATTAACAAGTATGTTGTGAGCAAGACACGAGAAGTCATTCTTCCGCTTTACTCTGCACTGATTAGGTCTCAATTGCAGTATTGTGTCCAGTTCTGGGCACCACATTTCAAGAAAGATGTGGAGAAATTGGAGAAAGTTCAGAGAAGAGCAACAAGAATTATTAAAGGTCTAGAGAACATGACCTACAAAGAAAGACAGAAAGAATTGGGCTTGTTTAGTTTGGAAAAGAGAAGATTGAGGGGGAACATGACAGCAGTTTTCGGGTATCTAAAAGGGTATCACAAGGAGGAGGGAGAAAACTTGTTCTTCCTGGCCTCTGAGGATGGAACAAGAAGCAATGGGCTTAAACTGGAGCAAGGAAGGTTTAGGTTGGACATTAGGAAAAATGGTTAATCACTGTGGTTGTGGAATCTGCATCTCTGGAGATATATAAAGAGTAGGTTAGATAAATGTCTATCAGGGATGGTCTAGACAGTACTGGGTCCTGCCATAAGAGCAGGGCACTGGATTCAATGACCTCTCAAGGTCCCTTCCAGTCCTAGCATTCTATGATTCTATGGTTAGATTATGCCCAAAGTGCATTACATTGCCAATTAGTTTTTCAGCCAGTTACATAGACACTAAAATCAAATAAATGCCTAGAAAATTCTTTTGAAATCGAATGCTTATATTTGCCAAAAAATGTCCCCAGATAGTGCTTTAAATAAATGCTTCAATGTAGACTCACTAATTATTATACTCACAATAGAGCAGTAGTGAGTTATTGTGTAATAACTTGGCACACCAGAAAGGATCTGTTTCTTTTTTTAAATTTAGCTCTCAATCTGGAATATTATCAGTGGACTCACATCTTCTCAGCCATGTGCTATGTTCATCAAAAGCTATCTAAGATGCTTCTCTCCAGGTCTCCATCTTCCATGTACAGTGTAATTAGAATGCAAGCTGTGTTCCTGTTCCTACTTAGACTGTCTAGAACTAGATTAATATTGTATCTTGTCTCATCACTGCCACAGCGGAGAGGTAACAAATAATAACGATGTCTCTTTTAACATTTAAATTATCTGCTTTTATTCCCCTTTTGGGATTTTGTGTGGGTAGGATTCGCTATTTAGTTAACAGACTGCTATGTCCTGTATCTGGGTCTCTGAGTGCCTCCCACCACCTTTACCTGCCATTTGCAGGAACTGGAGTTCACTGCCTGGCAAAATTCTGTTACCCCAAGATCCTAAGAGCAAGTAAAATGACATTTGTTTTCTCATCATCACAGTAGGTCAAGATCACAGTCTAAGTGGCAAGCAGGTTTTATGGATGGACTCAAACTGAATATGCACTTTTTCAAGGCTGTTAAATCCTTGCACTCTGACACAATCCATGCCTGCATTCCCTCCTTCATCTCCTCACACCTTAAGGTTGGGTCAGGGAACCTATTTTGGGTTGGGGGCCACTGACCCACAGAAAAATCAGTTGGGAGGCACACACAAGTGAGAAGCAAAAACCAAACCAAACCAAAATCACACCCTCACGTACGTGCCCCCCAACTGAGAATAACAAAGACCCTCCCCACATTCCCCTCACACACTAGAGCATAGGGACACCCAGATTAGTAGATTTTGTGAGTTCCAGTCCAGCAGTGGAGCAGGAGGAGAGACTAGAGCACCAGTGCAGGCTCCCCAATGCTGGAAGGGAACCCTAAACCCTAAACAAATTGCAGGCAAGCAGGGGGCCACATCCTGTTCTCATGCCTTAGGGTCCCCACCCCTAGTACACCTAGTACACATCCTCCACATAGGGACACCCAGATTAGTAGATTTTGTGAGTTCCAGTCCAGCAGTGGAGCAGGAGGAGAGACTAGAGCACCAGTGCAGGCTCCCCAATGCTGGAAGGGAACCCTAAACCCTAAACAAATTGCAGGCAAGCAGGGGGCCACATCCTGTTCTCATGCCTTAGGGTCCCCACCCCTAGTACACCTAGTACACATCCTCCACAGGCACCACCGAGTTATATCAGTGGAGAAGTGCATCCCCTGGAGAAGGGGAGAGGACTCAACAGCTATTTCCCTGGAAAACTCTGGTCTAAGAAGACCCTGCTGCCAGGGGTCTCAGAGCCTGAGACAAGTGGCCTTGAAGTCCCAGCCCATGGGCTCTGCCAGATCGATTGGCTCTGTGTACCAGGCAGATGGGTAGCAGGACCTGGAGGGATGGGGAGCAGAGAGCCAGTGCCCCGGGGCCTCTCCCCAGGGACTGGAGGTGCCTGCTCTGCCAGGGCCAGCCTGCTGGCGCGGGGCGCGGGGTTCCAGCCCCCCTGGCTCTCCCCAGCAAGGGGGATCCCAAGGCGCAAAGCCCAGCGCGGGTCTCCGACGTGCCCGGGGAGGATCCGGGCTCGGCGCGGCGGG